TATCTTCATCAAGTTTGCCATTTAGCATCGCATGTCTTTTGCCTGCAAGACAATTGCTGGTTTTCAGTATCACGCCATTCAAAATAAATCAAAATAAAAATCAAAACCGTTCAATAGATAAAGTCCAGAATCTGGGAAATGAAAGGAGGTACATATACAAAGACCCTTGCCAAGATTCAGGTCAGAGGAATATCTCGTATACGAGATACTCTAAGAAATGTTTTACCCAAACTTATAGAGATTTGTATGGAGACGCCATGCTGGTGCTCACCTGGATGAGCTCCAACATGGCGGACGGAAACCAACAGAAACATCTGTTACCGAGTTTTGCTACAAAAGCGTGAATTTATTCTTCGAGAAACTAATAAACATTAAAGTAATACTTTTTCTAATAAATGAACTGTTTACATAGCAAAATTTCCTGAAAAAAGTCGTTTTTTTTAACCTGCATGAAAGCTCTCCTGGCCGTCACGTACATGCCGCGTCACGCAAAAGCTTAGAAATTCAAGTGTACTCTATCACAAAACCAAGAGAATTAGTTCCCAGTTGCTCTAATGCACCGTGAAAGAAAAATCTCGGTAGGATCGATAGTTTTTTAGTTTGAATTTTGGTGAAGTCATGTGAAAACCAACAATTAAATAATTTTAAGTTAAGTTGAACTCAAACCATAGAAGGCAACATAACAGGGCAAGCTACGTTGCGGACGATCATGCGGTGATGATAATGATGATGATGATGGGTGGTGGTGGTAACAAGAGCGGCTCCTGGTGATTATGAAGATAGTGCGGGTGGTTGTTGTGTGGTTGATGACGATGACGACAAAGGTGGTGGATGATGATGGTCAGAGTGGAGACCTCAAGGACAAGAGTGAATACGAAGACGAGATTAAACTTAAGATTATTTCGTGTCTCCTCATTAAATACACCCCTGAAAAGCTCAATTGTACTTTCTTATCAGAAAAGTTAGCAAAGTTATTTTTATTGAGGGAGTTTAAGCCCCCTCCCCATCAAAAAGTGATAAAACCTCTACCATGTGATAACCTATTTTCGCCACTAAAACATTCTTGCGTAAGCTCGTGGTAGAATGACGACGGCTATCACGTTTTCCCGCCAAAATGACGCTGATTTACGCGCGCGCACTACTCAGTATGGAGAAAACTTCGTCCTCGTACCCGTCCCCGTCTTAGAATCTAAAGGTCTCTAGTGGTGATGATGACGACAGCGATGACGAAGGCACTGATGGCAATAACCATGGAAATGTAGTTGATGGTGGTGATAGCGGAGATGCTGATGTTGTTAATGAATCGTGTGATGAGGATAACAGTCAGAACAATTCTAACGACATAAGACACAGTTAATCAAATAAGGATTACTGACCTGTCTCGGCAACCCAGGAACGAACTGACGCCATGTCGCGAGAGTGGTCGGACAAATTAGAGATCGTGCTATCACTGTTAGAGACAATTGACATATCATCATCGTCACGCAACCTTGCTATCTCATCCTTAATGTCACGCCCATGATAATGAGTGTGGGCAATTTCAAGGAACTGGAATGCTGAGGCAATGCCTTTCACATCCTCATTTTCCACACTGACTTCGAAGCCATACACTGCGGCTTTCAGGACCTCAAGCATCCCTTTATAGACACTTCGAGAAACACGCTAAAAAAAAAAACAGAAGAATTAGATTTGGGTTAAGACGACCTCTGTTAAACAGATAGCTTATCAATAGGACAGCATACCTGTAAACTATAAACAAACGTACATGCATAGTGTACATAGTTCAGGACCCGGTTAAAGGCATACTCTAACAATACATTGTGGAGTTATCAATGCACTACAGTTGGGGGCCATAGTTCGGACGTAAAAAAGACAATCAAAATTGTTACAGTTGAAGTAGTGGAAGTCAGTTAACGCGGCCAACAAAGGGACATAAGAATTTGCTCGTATTAAAGGGGTGACCTACCCCCGTTCAAAAGGCTTTTTCCATTTTCTCGGGGGAAAAGCCCGTGGACGAGGCTGGGGGTTGAGAGTGGCCGTATTGACGTGATATGAATACTTCTTGGTAAGAGTGGTCGTATTAACAAGGTGAATTTGTAAAGCAATATAAGATTTCATAAAATGATCGTTGAACGCATTAACGAGGTGACCGCATTAATGGAGCGTTCTTACTCGAAAATAAATGGGCATGAGAGGAATCAGAGTAGTCATAATATCAAGGTCTGCTAACTGACACCACCCTAAAATGACCTCATTATAAAAAGGGGACAATTTTATCATTCTGTCATGTTTATGTCAATTGACAGCATTTGCAGAGTTTAAACGAAGATTTAGCTTGAAACGAGGCACAAGGACCAAATAACACGAAGACTAAAGAATCATTTTAGGGTAAGGCGAATTCACCATCCAACCTCTTCCCACCCCCTCCACAAATGACTTTTGGTAACAAGTATATCTCAACAGGAATAGTAGCGTAGCCGCGTTCATAGCAATATATGACAGAACTGTCTTAGACAGAACCATATGTGCAGCAAATCCAGACACTGCCATTGTTCACAATGAAAGCGTCCACAGGCCAACATCACGACAATGTCACAATTTTCCTCCAACTACCAAAATTCAATGCGTTTTCCTTTCTCTGTATATCATTATTTTTTAATCCAACAAAGTGAAATAAAGATCTTCAAAAAGGCGAATTTTGATAGTTATTATAAAATGACATTATTGTGACCAAGCCGACAATAGAGTCAAATTTAGACCTTAATAATGTGGCTCCTATAGATTTGGTTCTATATTAAGGGGAAAATTTGAGTTCTAGTATATTTCCTCGAATATATCTTACATTTGTAATATTTATTTATTATATTTATATTATAAATTTTAACATTTTAAAAACACTGATAATAAGTTCGGTGAACATTTACTCCTAGCGTTTGCAAGGGTCTTGTTATTCGAAGTGCAATGAAGCTCTCGAAACGAGCGCAGAAAATCCAAACTCCGTGATGACGAGTCACTACCCAGATATGGGCAGTGCTTCTTATTAGTTGAGGGAAATTTCCTTCAATCAGTCAGACGCGCTACCCAGATCTAGCCTGTGAACAGGCCTTTGGTCGAGCGGAGAACTAGGGAGAGGGAAGCGCCCGCCCCTTTCCCTTCCCTTTCCTTGCTATTTTTTTCCCCAAACAGAGAGCCTGTTCACAGGCTACCCAGATCTGTGTAGTGATGCGTCATCAGTATAGAATTTCTGCGCTCGTTTCTCAAACGCCATTTCGCTGGGAATTCAGTGGCGACGTCGTAAAAAGACTTTTTCCTCAGGCTATTAGCTAGCGAAAAAAAAGATGAATGATTCAAGCAATGTCCCTTGCCCTGAAAACAATGCAAGATGTGTTTTCACAGGCCAATGAGAATCGAGTTCCCCGAGAGCTTCATGACAATTACAATGGTTAATGTTTATAGGTACTGGATCTTTTACAAAAGTCTTTAGTCTAGCTTTCCTCATGCTAGGAATTATTAATTTTTAAGGTTCACTTTTAGAACTATAAAGAAATCGTTACGTAAATCGTGCGTTTGCGATTTTGCGTTTCCTAACGGATTTAACCTCTTAACTGTCATAGTTCACCAGTCAACTTGCAGCATCATAAGTGGGCACTAACGCAAGCAAATACATGAAACAATAGGACCTATTTTGGAAGGAAATCACGTTGTCATGGTGACCGAGAAAGCAGAAGGCTGACCTACCTTTGCTTCAGGGACCGGAGACTGGGTCAAGTCAGTCCCAGAGCCCCAAGTGGAAGAAGAAGAAGAAGACGGCGAAGACCATCCGAGAGAGAGTGAGGACAAGCTGTTCCACCAGAGTTTAGGCTGTGGCATACAGAGCATAGTGAAGAGAGTGCTTAGTAACAATAAAGTGCAAAAGGTGACAGCTCAGCAGCCTGCAATTGTCTATATTCTAAGGAGTGTAGAATGGTCTTGGCCTTTCTTAAAGATTCTCTAATTACCACAAGGTTTTTAGTATGGCTTTAGTCAACGTATCCAAAAGGTTACCAAATAACACAGACAGATAAACCCTTCGAAGCGGCCACTAGCTTCTTTTATGTATTAAACAGCAAGTTATCGTAGGGTATAAACCCAAATAAGAAAGTCAGACCCCTAATTAGCCTGAGAATACAGTCGACACTTGTCGACGCCACCACTGGTTTTCCCGCCAAATGACGCTTGAGGAATGAGCGCAGAAATTCCAAACTGATGACGTGTCACTTCCCAGTTCTGCGTATTGCTTCTGATTGGTCGTGCCGAGTGGGAAATTTGCTTCTACCATACAGAAGCTCTACCCAGATCTGGGTAGTGACGCGTCATCAGTATGGAATTTCTGCACTCGTTACTCAAACGTCATTTCGCGGAAAACCAGTTGCGACGTCGCAAAATGTTGGCTGTGTCTCAGGTTAAACTCAAGAGCTTTGATTGTGAAGCAAAAGACTGGAAGTGAAGAAAACTGATACTATTTTAACCCAAGCATGTTTCTGATTGGCCTTCGAAAATTACGGTCAGTTTGGATGTATGCAACTTTAAAACGGCAACAGATGAACACGAAGGTGACATCAAAAAGTAACAACAAACTGAGATGTTTTGTATGTTTTTTTTTAGCTTATAAAGCTTTGGAAAATAAGATTCAAAGCATTCAGCATCTGACACCATTCTACACCCCTTGAAAGAACTGAACAGTGTATAATTTATTTAAAAAAATTATCATGCGCGATTAACTAGTGTCATTTAAGTTTAAAAACTTTGCTATTAATGTCTTGTTTATTTATTTATTTTTTTTAAAAAAAGGCATTAATTTTAATTTTGCGAGTTTAACTTAAAATTACCGATCCTTGACAAACAAAAAGATAAATAAATAATAAAGAGAGAAAGAAAACGATGAAAAGATAGCTTGGCTGATTGGCAACATGAAGAACAGAAAAAAGATACTAGTAAAAAAGTAAAGAGAAACCAAAATAAACATCAGCAAAAGAGGAATTCAAGTTGCAAAGGCGGTGAAAAAGGAAAAAGAAACAACAAATTCAAAAGACAAACTAAAACGGTTAAAAAACTACAAAACAGTATGTTGCTGTGACATTGTTTACATGTTTACATGTCCAATATTGTAAAAGACTTACGGTACTTTAGAGTTCAAATGAAAATTTAAAAAACAGTTAAATTTAACTACAATAACGATTACTAACAACAGTGCTAGATGCCTCTTGTTTCGAGTCTAAGCCAGTAGTGGAATGGCCCTGTTTATACTGTGCCAGAAGAAATGATGGAGGAATTATGCTACTGATGAGCTGCATGGTAAGAAATAACAATTTATGGAAGAATCATGAAACAACAAAAAATGTTGTGAGTACAATAAAAAAAGGTCACAGTACATAGCAAAAAAAAACCAAATTATCTCAAGCACACGTTGCTATACCCTCACTTGCATAGCAATAACAGTCAATCATCAGACAATGTACAATTCAAAATTTTCCCTAGGACATGTAGCCTCCCATGCGGACGTTCTAACCCTTTAAGTCCGAACATCAACATGAATCTTCTCCACACTGTTCTTCATACATTCCTTATGGTACTTCTTGAGAGAATTTGTTCTAACATCACAACATTTCATCTTTGGTGATAATTTCAATAATTTTCACGACCTGTCTGTTTGATCAGGCAGTGCAGTCAGTGTTAATGTTGGGAGAAATTGGATGTGGGTCACTAGTGGGGCTCAAAGAGTTAAGGGTTTTGTCATGCATTCCTTCCCCACACTGGAGAGGATTGCGTGACCAGCTGTCTTCATGGAGGGCTAATACACATAGTAACTAGACAAATCAAATACTTTAGACTATCATTTTATAGATGAAGATTAATTTTGTACGGTAATAAACAAATTAAAAGTCAACGTAATGTACTGAATGTGTGACAATGCTTTTGGTTGGACATGTGTCCTTACGAAAAGGAGAAACTTTATTTTGCTGCCTCAACACACATATAATCTTTATTAATTACAAGAAGTCAAGCATAGATTATGGGATGAGACATAAGGTGGGGCATGGTGTTTGCCAAAGAAAGATTTGCTGTACGTGTATGATTAAGATCTTATTAAAAGTGAGATCTCTGACAGTGGAAAAGCATTTAGTATTGAGAAATTCTGGCAGTGAAAGACTAGTGTCAAACTTTTACACGAGGTTTTAGTCAGAAGTTGCTTTGACATTTTATACACACGCCTAGTGGAACACGCACAATATATGCCCTACAAGACACCTGGTGGGATGTGTAATTTACATGTTCTGGCAAAATACCTGGAACATGAAGCAGCCCATAACAGGATTAAAATCCCAACTGGTAGGAGACAGTCAGTAGGCTATATAGGCATGGCCGAGGAGATGAACTCAAGATGACTGAGAACAAATCCAGGAAGTGGCTAGAGTTGGATTTGAATCCAGGAACACTCAGGATTGCAAGCCCGATGCACTGGCCACTTGACAACGTACGCTGCCTCCTATTTTAAATAATCACAACTGAAGACTTACCATGTCATCGACGGCATCTGTATTCGTGTCTGCAGAGGGGGCATTGTAGAGACGACTGGCCACCATGGCTCTAAGGGACTCATCACACATCAACTTACGTAGCCTCTTTGTTGCAAGCCAACCAACACCATCTCCTTTAAGAACACTGCGGACAACTTCCTTCAGAAACTGTTGATTGTCACTGTGAAAATATTTCCATTGTTAATTTATTATAATTTTTAATATAATTTTAATTTGGAGAGTCCTCTCAAACAAATTTCATTCAAAAACTACCATACAGTCACAGTGTAGATACAATGTAATACTAAACACCACCATTAATAATAGAACTTTAATACAAAGTTTACGACATTAATAATTAAGGAGCTTAGCACAAAGGTTTTCTACAAAGACAAAAAAATGCTCATTTGAACATTCATTTTTCCACAGAAACACATTTTTTGGTGTACTATCATGTGTTCCTATAAATCACAAAAATCCATTTACAGATAACCAATCAGTTTTAAAAAATAAAATGACATTTGTTTTTTCAATATTGATTTTCAATATTGAACTGACTTGTCACTCAAAGATTAAAATTGTCACTTTACAGTGCAAATGGACCAAAAACATTCACAAATTTGAATGCTATTTCCTGACAGGCAGAAATTCAAACAATTATTTTTAAAGTTTTAAAATTTTTTTGTTGTTGTATACAGTTGAACCTTAAATATTATTGGTCCATTTGCAAAAAAACTTGAATATCTTTTGTTTTTAGAAAATCTTGTGATGGGACAATCCTTTTTCCATCTGTCCCAGTTAGAGAGTACACACTTTATTAGAGCACATTCATGTATTAGGTAATATGCCAGACTGAAATTGCAGAGTGACTGCTTGAAAATACATGACTTTTGTCATACCTTTGGATTGCTTTTTCAGTGGATGTTTGTTTTGTCAATAGCTGTCTTCCTGGTACTTTATCTCCAGGCACTGTTGGCTTTTGTCTGATTCCTAAGGAAACCGCAAATACACAAGTACTTAGTAAAATACAGGTAAACTTATTTTAAAATATCATGTAAACAAAATGTAATTTACTTATTTACTTACTTATAAATTTATTTTTTGATTGCACAATATTTTAGCAATACCAAATGTAATACCAGAATAGACTAGGGCAGAATTCAGAAGCACATTTTAGATCTTCAAGTACATGTAAAGGAGCGCATCCAAATATTGGTCAGGAACCCGATTAATAAATTTTATTTTTCCAATCAGGTTCAGAATTGGTACCTTTGCTGATTCAACGGGGCCAAATACATTTCAATGTTGATATGTGTCATCATTGTATTAAATTATCTGATATAAAATGCAACCTTTAAAGTGGGGGCCCACTCATCAAGACCCTAGGATAAGAGGCTGGGGAGCCTGGCCTTGAAAATAATTTTTTTGACCTTGTTTGGCCTTAAAAAGTAAGGTAGGGTATCCTACTTTCTGGTTCCAGGGGTGTCTCACTTACAAGCCCAAAGGGTGAAGGTTGTCCACTACCCCAACAAATTTATGCATGGCAATGTATTGTAATGTCTTCACTTCACAATACTGTACAAAAGCATAACAATAAAGAACGAAGCAAAACAGTGAGAAATTAATTTAACAAATTTAGCCAATGTCTGGCCCTAGAGATAAGACTTCAGAATTTCCCGCCATGTCTCCTAAATCTATATGTACTATACCACTTGTGGTTCTGGTGATTTCACCAATATAGACCACATGTGACTTAAAACCGTTCGTTTACAGTACAGCGTCCATTGGCGTGGTACTCTTCCAAATTTCTCACACAAACAGAGAGAATCAGCTGAAACCTCCGAACACTTCGCTAAGCAAGAACGCATTGAGCTGGGCCCGCAGGTCATGCAATCTCACGTGATCCCCACATGATGTAATGGTGAGGCAGAATTTAACAAATGCATGCACAAATTTGTCACAGTATTGGACAAGTATGCAAAGGGAATGCTTGTTTTACTGAGTTGATGAATTGAAGTTGCTTTGAAATCCGGGGTGCTTACCATTCACACAAACCACCCAGGTGGAAATCTTGTGCATTAACATATATTACAGTGATGCCAACTCTCCCGCTTTTGGCCGGAGACTTACGCTTTTTTGCCTCATCTCCCGTTCTCCCGCTTTGGTACATAAATCTCCCGCTTTTTACGTCCGCTATAAATATTGAATACTTAGTAAAAAATTAAACAGACTTAGTTTGAGATTTAGCCCCTTTTTAGCTAAAAACTTGACTTTTTCTTATTCGCAGTACAGTTTCTGGGGCATTTTTGCACGTATTTAGTCATTGACAAAGATTATTTCTAGCATCAAAATGATGATTTCGAATTTGATAGTATGTACATCATGTAAGACGTCATACAATGTCCTAAGTCATTCCCATTGGGGGCTGGGTCAATTTTTCGGGGGAGGGGGGGTTGTTGAAATTCCAGGGGGGGGGTAGTGAAAAAAAGACAGTCTCCCGATTTTAGGTCTCCAGAGGTTGGCATCTCTGATATTAAACCATAAAATTTGACATGGTGGGAGGGCAGTCCGCTACAAGAGGGATATCCAACTGAAAAAGGTGGAAAAATTGCATCGCCTCAAAACACAGCCCATATATTTTTTCTGAAACTTCCAAATTCAAACAGAACGGTGCAAACCATTTGATTTTGCAACCAGAATTTCTGCTTTTTCCCATGTAAATGGTAAGAACCCCTGGTCTCTGGGGTTTCCCACATGCTGGTCTCAAGGGAGTTCCAGGTTGTCTTCCCTGGAGACACATCCTGTATAAATTTCTTGTTCTTACCTGGGAAGGGGAAAAGGGGGGATTTTTCTTCTTGTGGGGATAGTTTGTCTGAAACTGAACTGCCAGACACTCGCTTTGCAAAGCCATTTATTGTGGGTTTGTCTCCGGCTTCCTGCTTTGTCACACTCATAGTGGACTTTTTGAAACTGTTCCACAAGCCTACAAAGTACCAAAATGAGACGTTTAAATAGAGTATGGCTCAGCAACACTGTTAAATTCTCAAACTGAGAAACACCACTTTTCAACTACATTTCATACACACTACTTACTTTGTTATGTTTGATTTCAATAAAGTAGTTTCAGTAAGCTAATAACTTCTTCACATGAAAGCCATTTCAAATACATATTGTACACAGTCAAGGTCTATTAGAGTGACCATCAAAGTACAATTGTAATTATTTTTACAAATCTCTACCTAATTAAAATACCATTTACAATCTGAATTAAAAGAGACAATAGCAGAGAAATTTAAGCATTAAGTGACGATTTGATAGCCACTGATAGGTTCCTTTTAAAAAATGTACTAAGATTTAGCTGATTTCAAGTTCTCAACCAGAGAGTTCCACATTAGTGCTTCCCTGTACGAATGAACCTTTGTAGCATTCTGTTTTCGGAACGTGATATTTTAATAACTTATATACATTGTACATCGGCCCGACTGAGTACTATCCACCACTTGAACGATAAGTCTAATGACTTCAAGATACAATCCATGTAGACGTCATTTACTTTCTAAACGGCTGTGACTTAAGCTACAGTACAGGCCATGGGCATTGCAGCATTACACGCATGTTTCATGCGTGGAAATCCACCATATTGCATGCAAATTCCACGAGGAAAACACACGTGAAACACTTGTGTAAAAAATATGCGCAAAAAGACACGAGAAAATACACGCAAATTAGGAAAATTTGCATGTAAAACTTTACACGCAGGTTGTTTGCTTGTATTCGGTTTACTTGAGTTCTTACATCGCTGACTGAGCGAGTGCAGTTGTACTTGTGCGGGTGGCTTTAATTTGTTAGCATAAATCAAACTTTCGAGTCACGTTCAAATGTTAGTATTTAATGTTATCTGGGCTAAAAGTGATCCAAGTTTTTTGACCGAATGAACATTGTTTTTAAATATTTACATGTTCTTCGCTTGAATCTTCATTTGTAGACTTCACAGAGATTATAAAAAGGTTTCAACTAAAATCAGTTTCAGTCATCAATTCGCGACTATTTTGATGGACCAAATACTCTGTTTTGGTGAAGGGTCACTTCTACATGTATTTTGTTTACAGCATTTTACCTCCTGCTTTTATTTAGCTCACTGCTTTGAGTTATTTTCTCAGGCAGCAATCTCCTTTGTCCTCTGTCTTTCCAGCAATGTATGTTCCACCATATATACTCATTACGGAATAGGGCTTTGGGCCAACACAAAAAGCTATGCAGTATAGTAATCTGTATGAACATCTATCTGCTATGTGACTCTCCACTTTAGAGACTGGCCCAGCCCAGCAACACTCTGTTACAGGAACTGTGCCAAAATCGCTATTCTTATTTGTGAACAGAAGCCGTATCTGGTGAACAAAGCCTTAGTTTTATGTCTGAGTGAATAACACCTTACCTAGGACGGCTTCAGTGCTGTTTATAAACATGCTTTGTTTATCAGACATCACAGTGTTTCCAGATGAGTTGGACTGATCTGACATACCAGACACGAAAGTGTGTTCACTCTCAGCTTCTGAGGCATGTTTCCGTCTTGCAAGTTGAGGAGTGGGTGGATTAGACACAGAATACATGAAGTCTTCACTGTCATCACCATTAATGGAGCAAGAATCCCCACTGCTGATTGAAAAAGCTGCTGAATCCGGTGTGCTTGCGTCAAAATGGTCCGGCCTTGAGGGTGAAAACATAATCAAATTAATTAATACAATTAATTCTGGCTTGAAATTTTGGAAATTCCAATGCCCAATGGAACAGTAAAATTAATTCTGGTTACACCGACCCAGCCCAAGCCACTACCCGTTTGCTCATTGTTCTTGTAAGCAGGATACAAGGGAGTGGTAATGGAGACAAAAATCTTGTCAAATGTAAAGGCTGGGAGATTTCGGTTCGACTGACCTAAATGAGCAGACTGGTCAAAGTGGAAAACTTTCAAAGGTGGTCCCAAATATTCTGGTCAGACCGAACTGAAACGGTCTGTTCCATTTGATTTCTAACCAAAATTTCTAGAATTTTGGGCTGAATGGAAAGTGCCTCTGAACTCACGATAAATAAATCATCACTCATGGTTTCTGCAGTTGCTCCAAACACAGGCTTAAGAATTAACTAGGATTTAAAAAAATCAAACAGGATTTAAAATAGATACCTTGATCCTCCCTTATTGATCACTGAAATATCCAACATGTTTCCCCTCACCACTGGTGCATGTAAGCTTGGGAGAGAAAAAGATGCTTGCAATTCTGGCATTGGAGAAGATGCCCTCACAGGTGCAAATGGGGGTGCATGAGGTCCAAGAGGCGTGGCTCCATTGATTTCACCAATTTTCATTCTTTGCACAAGGTCACCGACGGAGCTATGGCAACTGCTGCTGTCATCATCCTCATCGTTGTTAGGGGTGATTTCTTCTTCGTCAAATATCAAGCTTGGTTCATAGTCAACATCAATCCAAGGTTCTCTGCAAATCTTTGATTGTGAATCAAAAACTTGGTAGACAACAGGTTCCAAGTCCCCTGCAAACCATTTGGCCTTGTCTCCAATAATTTGTGGGTCATGAATGCCTTGAAGGAAAAAAAGTTGCCTTTCGTACAATGTGCTAAGGTACTGATATTAAAGGAAACTTGAAGAAGCAAGAAATACTTTTGGAAACCAAATCTAAACTTGCCAAAGAGAGCTGCTGTTAATATTACTTGAAAAAATGGCCTGCATACATAATTTTTGATGACAGAAAACAAAACTTGCAGAAGTCAGGAATGTAATGTAAAAGTAACTACAATATTGAAATAGTAGTGTAATATTTTTTGTGGGAGACCAGTGATTTTGTAACCTCTGCATCTTGCTTCCCTGACCCATAAAAATCCCCAAAGATGCAAGATAAATCATGGCATGCATCCCGTAGGATGCAAAATTGGTCGATCAATCCGGGAATATCCTGTCTGTGTGATTTCTGTGGCAGTTATTACGACTGTTGTTAAACTAGGCATATTTCTTTTAGTCTTTGTTGTGCTTTAAAGGGAACGTCCACTCTTACTACAGAATAAGTTTAAATCAAATAAAATTATGTTGATAAACAAATTTGTTCGAAATTTGTCCTTAAAAAAAGTGTTTATGTCAGGAAAAGTGAATCTTAAAATCGCTTATTTTCACTTTCAAATTTCGCGGGCGCCGCCATCTTGAATAATTGTAACGTGTTACGGTTGCTCTATTGTTCTGACACAAAGAGCTTTTGTTTAATAACAATAGGGCAACCGTAACACTTCACAATTATTCAAGATGGTGACGCCCGCAAAATTTGAAAACAAAAATAGGCGAATCCAAAAGTTATTTCTTTCGGATACAAACGCTTTCTTTAAAAATATTTTAGATTGACTTGACTATAACAGTTATTTCCTGTGATTTAAAGTTATCTTTTTGTTGTAAAGTGGAGGTTCCCTTTAAAGTAGAAGGACTCCAAATTAATTTCAGTATACTGTATGCTACTTAATACAGAGTTTTGGAGTCTGTCTTCAGATAAACTGTCTGGATACATAAAGGCCCAAGCATTTTGGACTCATTGGTTTTTCAACTGGGACTCCTGATTTTTCCCCAGCAGTCCCAGAACTCATCATAACTTTTTGTAGCAAAATCACCACAGATTGTATACTGTTACCTTTTTTTACAGTTGCCTGAAGAGTTAAACAAAACAATAACTTATAATAATTTACCTTTAAGGATCTTGGTAAAAACTGTGTTGGATGGGTAGATCAACCACTCTCCATAATATTCTAGTGACTAAAACACCAACAAAAAATCATTATGATAATCATTCCTGTACATGAATTAATTATTTACAACTGTATACAATGTATGTAATTCTTTTAATGTGGCCAAATTGTAATTTAGGCAAGGTTAACCTCAAGACAACACTAGAGGGTCAGCAGTTGAACCCCAGGAATGCAGGCTTGTGCAGGGTGGTTGCCGCGACTGCAGGGGCTTACATGTGATTGCATATCTGAGCTCTGCTTTGCTTTGTTGATCTTTGCAGATCAGTGCAAGTCATGACCTGTGACATCTGCTGGTTTTTGCTCCCAATCCTCCCACCCTTGGATAGGTATTAAAGTATAGGTTTTGTTAAGTATTCCACTGAACTCTTTTCAGTGTGACGGTGCCGGGTGATTGGCACTCACTTGGTTACCATGGTTACCTCCAAGGCAATGCTCTCTTTTTGCATTATAGGCCCTTCCACCTTTAAGGCACCTGCTCCCAAGTTCATCTTGTTGATGGGTTTAATGTAGTTTTTGTGCTTATTATAGTTGCACTATTATAATTTATATGCCCTCAATCAGGTAAACAAATGATTATTTTATTGTTAAGCACAATGTTCATGGGTAGTGGGATTAAGAGGGTCAGTGAATTAGCCTCACAGGATTGTCACTGAGATTAATTTAAAGTTTCCAGGTAATGCAATTAGAAGGCAGGGGTTTGAAGACTTAAGAAATATTGTGTTGTTCCAGAAAATATCCTTACTCCCCGACAGAAGGGATTGGATATTCCTGGGGGGTGGGGGCTCTCAAAGGCCTAAAATTTGACTGGAATTTCCAGAGAGGTTGGGGGGGGGGGGGTCTAAGGAAAAATCCCTTTCGTGGGGGAGGTATGGATATTTTTTAGAACCACACATTTTTGGTATTATCTTCCTCTTTTTATTCCTTTGAAAGCAGCTAATGGGCAATTGCTCATAGTAGCTGGGAGAAACCTCCTCTGGTTTACAGCCCTCATAGCTAGCCCTTAGAGGAACCCATATGATTCCCATAATAAGGCATGTAAACGGATCTGTTCACCTGAGCCCTAAATGGGAGGTTGGGGGATTACATTCCTGCTACCCTTATACTGCTATCACACAGGTCCATTCCAATAATTTATTGACATAAAGCAAAGTCACCCTGGAAAAAAAATAACATCAATGGAGAAAAAAAATACTAAAATTCACCTGAGTCTCTGAAAGCCTTAGAACAAACTCTGACAGCTCTGGCCTTGATCTCAGGAAATGACCTGTCTGAATTGCTACCACAGGGCGAGAAAAGAGTCTCAGTGTCCTTGTGTGGTCCTTAATACCTCCAAGAACGTTTGGTGAGGAAAAGAATTTGACCATTGCCACTCTAACTGCAATGTCTACTGCATCTACATCATTGCCATACACAAGAGACCCAGACAAGCCATTTGTATCACCAGGGGTCAAGGGTTCAAGGTCATCTAGCGGGGCTGAATCATCAAGATTTGTCACAGTTTGAGGTGGCATGCTGAGAGCTTGAAGAGCCTAGGGTGGGAAAAAAAACAGTAAAACTGTAGTTAAAATTACAATAAACATATAGCTTAACCCTTCACTGCCAAATGTGGCCAAAGGCAAAATTCGATAGAAAATCCCAAACTTCATTTTGTAAAATGTTGAAAACCAAGTAGCTCCATGTGAAAGTACAGATTGAGAGGTTTCATTTGCATAGTCACACCATAGGATTTCGTCCACAGACTCAAAAGTTAGAGCTACCTTACAAAACTCCATTATTCACTCTGGTAGTGAAAGGGTTAACGATATTATTTTTAAGCTTCCAGATAATAATATTGTGAAACAAGTGATTGCACAAAAAAAGTCAAAACTTTCTAGAAGTACATGTACATCTCCTTAAAAACAAAACTAACCATTTTCAGGTTCCTGATCAGTAATGCTCCTTCCCGTTGAGGTAATGGAGGCAGCTCGTCTGCCGTCAGTGGAACTGTAATCTGACAAAGAGCATCAATAATGATTTTTACAAAATTAACATCCTGTGCTACATTAAAATAAAGTGACAGTTATTGATTGTCCAATAACATTGATATTAGATGGACCATTTACTATGTCATATGCAAGCATTATGGATTTAAAGCAGCATGCAGCCTTAATAAGATGCATGATACACTAGTCTTGACATAATCTTTAATTAGGGGCTATGTCACAATGATATTACTGTTTTCAGTCTATTCTGCTCTGAGGTCATACCCATACACAAAATGATCTGTCGAGTTATGAGGTAGATAAAAAACAAACTTAATCACGGAGCACTAACCTCAAGAATTCTCTTAATAATTATTATGATTTTTCAGTGTTCTCCCTAAATTTTAGCTCAGCAGCTAAGGACCATTCACAGCCAGTAAGGCAAAAAATATGCGCCAGAGGTGCACTTTCCTTGGGGGGAGGGTTAGGGAAGGAGGAGGGACAAGGCCCCACCCTTGCTGGGAAATTTAGGAGCTAAGTTCTTTGAAACGTCATTCCCTCATTTTCAGACCTACCGGCTGAAAAAATCCGAAAATTACCCTCTCCAAAAACAAGTCCCCCAATCTTGAAACGCAACCTAAAATAAGTGCCAAACCTCGAATAAGCAAGAATCAATTTTGAGATGCAAATTTCCCTCCAAGTTGGCTGGCCACAGTGTATCCCAGGCACACCTTCCACTTAAGCCAGGCAGTTAGTTAATAGATACTTACATATCATGACGTCCCCTTTAAAAGCTTAATTGTTATGAGTTGCCTACCTTGTTAGAATCCAGATCCACAACCCAAACATCAGCTGGTACTTGAAATCCTTCAGCTTTGTATCGAAAGAAACTCGCAGGAACACCAATCACAAATGGTGTGGGAGCCAACAACAGCTGCTCAGCACTGTTCATGCATGTTGGCAGCAACGGAATCACAGGAAACATGTACTCCAGAGGGTACAAGAGAGACGTCAGAGCAATCACACTCATAGTTAATGCATTATAGTCTCTTGACTGAACAACAACCTGAGAAAGACAAAATGAGCATTAACTACATGTACATGCACCACAGGCCCCTTGCTTTGCTGCTAGTCATTCAACTGGGCCCAGTTGTTCAAAGGCCAATTAGCACCTAACTGGGGGTTAAATCTAACCCATGTTTCTTTTTCTTGTGTTCAAAAGCATTTTCTCGGCTAATTTTCTCCATTATTTTTAGAGCTTATTGTAGACAAAAAGAATTAAAACTGAAATGTTTTTTAAGCCTTCAAATCTGAAGTCAAAGTCTTGCAGTAACCCTGGTTTATCTTAACCCAGCTTTGAACAACTTGGCCCTGGTATAAAATTGCCATGCTAGAGTGCATTAGGGACACACTGAGAGATGACAAACATAAGGCTTCCTTCATTTAAAAATGGTAATTCCCTTTGTTTGTCTTGTTCATCCAAATTGCATCTTTTGCTCATCAGCATGGCTGGCAGTACCTCGTGAGTGACTTGAGTGGCAAAATGGCCTATTAAAACTGCAACAATCCAACAGAAGACCCAGTAAGTCCTCTACTGCTGCAGCTTAACTTAATTTCCCAATTACTAGATCAGAGGTTTGATCAGTGAATTATAAAAAGATATAAGAGCTTGATCTTGAATTTTTCAGCTTGCTACAAGAGTCTGTTTTCTTTGTAATTTTAACGAGAAGTAGACTCCACCACCTGTAGCTGCTGCATCCACAATTGTAGAAAAAAATAAATAAAACCAGTAGATGTATATGATACAGCTGTACCTGTTTTATTGGAATGCTTAGCATGCATACTGTTTGGATTACATGCTAACTAAATACTTTTAACCCTTACAGACAATATGTACTTCTTTTGATGTCTACATGTAAATTATGAGCCATCACCGAACAATTCACCAATAGGGTATAAGATTCATCAATTGATAATTCCCAATTTGCATGACCACATGTTTGTACTAGGACTGTAACTTTTACTTTTGATGTACATGTAAGCAAGGAAATAAGGTACTATTTTTCTTAACTTGTACTGTTGTAGCTAGTAACATTTTTCTACCAAATTGCCATACAAAATCCCTTGCAACCTGGCCCTTAACAACATCCACATACTATAACAAAATTAAAGGATATCCAATATCAAATTAAGATTATCCATCCATTTCCATGCAGACTATAGTACAGGCATTAAATTAACACAGACCAACCATTCACCATAGGTTTTATTGCCTTTCAGTTCCTCAGTTGCATAAAGGAACTTAAGATTCATAGCAAACCTTCTGCAATGGTTTGTTTGGAAGGCAGTGGTTTAACCCAGTAGTGTGTTTGCCCCCAGTGAATTAATTCCCTAAGCTGCAAATAATATTAGCCCCATAGATGAAATGGTTTTCAAAACCTAACCTGGTTAAAAGAGTTTGGAAGGCTAATTTTTAAGAGCAACCAGGCTCAATTAGACTTTCAAGAAGTCCTTCGGAGTAGTGCAGTTTTGTGTTGTTGGGTCGCTTATAACACTGGCTTTAAAGTTTTGTTGACAAAATTTTACCCAATTATTACTGATAGAAGAAGGTAAACTTGGCTCTAGAATTTAGCAAAATGCCAAAAGGGGTCTTTAGGGCAAAGCAACTCAATTAATTCTGTTGTTGATTGTAGCTCTTATTAGTTATATCTACATAAATACAGTAAATTATTGTAATAGAGTATTATTAAGAATCCTTAAAATGAGTTGCAGATTCTGTGAGATAGGAAGTGGAAGCAACAGATTCCTTCATGCAATTTTACTTTTTAAAAGTTATCAAAATTCAAACAACTTTGTACCACACAACAGTATTACTCTTTTGTCTGCTGAACAGTCATATGGGAAGTTTCAAAAGCTGTCATCAACCTTAAGATTGAGAATTTTACTTCTTAGAAATCACCTTGGCTGAAAAGTATTATTTATCCATTTATTTTTATCTTACAACAGATCATCATATCACAATCTTTAAGTCTTCAAAACTCAGAGAAAAGGTATTACAGTTTTGGTATTCAATAGCGAGTAAATGGCGGTTTCTGTTGTAATCGATTACAGCATTAATTTTTAAAAAATAAATAAATAAAAATTTTATCCTTTGTCATAATCTAAAAAAAGCCATTAAAGTGCACATGAAGCACATTTGCAATATTTATTAAATACTAAAAATACTTATTACTTCCTAGCAGATCTGCATTTTTTGTTGTGCTATGCACGGCTAAAAATTCTTTTAACCCGCCTTTCAATGTTTAATTCAAAAGCAGAAAATAAACTCACAGGATTTTAATATTTAAAATTCTGCAAGATCAATATATTCTTAGCTATACCATGTCAACAAATGCAGCGGTCCCGAACGAATGTAAACATTCATTACAATCTTTCAAGACAGGGCAGGTGTAAATGAAATCATTTTCACGCAAAAAGAAACGTGTACAAAAGGGAAATATCGATAACAGTTGTGCTTCTCACCGCAATATGGATATAGGCTTCTTTCGAAAAAACCCAGACGGTTCAAAGAGACACGTTTCTTGTTTACAAAATCTTTCTTTGCTCTGAGCTTATCACTTAGCTCCCCCAAGGGAATAACAAAACGCGTGTTAACCAGTTTAAAATTCATTTTCTCTTAGTTTGGTCTCCATTTAAGTAAAAATACTGCCAAAAATAAAAACGATGGCAAAGTACAGAGTTTAAATATTGTAAAATCACATGAAAATTACTCTATACACCTGCTGGTGCGGCAGGACATTTCGTGGAAGCTTGTTTGTTTTCAATCGAGTGAGACTTACATAAGATTACATGTATCTTACCTTGTGTTCCAGTAAAATACACGTTAAAACTTTCAGACATGTCTCCACACCAAGAAGCTCCAAAGGAATATGAATTGGAAAATCTATAAGTGGAAACCGGTTCGATTCAGGGGCAGCAAAAATTAATGGAGGGTAGGTAGACGGAGAGTGAAGTTGAACTTCCACGCGTGTTCGTCCTGACACGGGAGCTTGTGCAAGCAACAATCGCTGAATCCACGTTTCTACTTCATCCATATCGCCGGCCAAATGGCTTGTTTTCTGGTCCTCGGTACATGTAAACACGGACCAGCTATTCAAGCCTGGAAGAAGGTTGTCGTTTTTGTCCAATCTCCCGGTAATTCCTGTCCTCGAGTCGATCATCTTGCGAAGGAAAAATAGGCACTCCCTGAATGTCGGAAAGAATGGATGATGCGATATGATGCACAAGGATGTCAAACTCATGCAGAAATCTCGTCTGTGTCGAGACCTCTTCCGCACAGTTAGAGTTCTTTCCCTGCAATCGCTTCTTTCCTTGGGAATAAAGTTCGAACAAGGTCGAAACACATTAACACAAATTCCATAACGAACCTTACCGGAATCTTTCTCAGTCAACGTAAACGCGAACGAGTTCGCTTCGCGCAAAGAAAACTTTTTCGCTACAGTACTGCATCCTTCCGGTTGGCAAAAGAAAACTACGTCTCCAGGTAGAACGAAGTCTTTATGATCCTTTTGTGGAAAACGCCGTAAAAGCACCGGAGTCTCAGTTGATTCGACGGTCGGTTTCCGCACGCCAACAACAACAAGGTAGTCTATGAGCCTAGATTGAGTGGACGCCGATCCAGAGCCCAT